GCAGGGCAGGGGAGCACAGAGACCTGCTCAGAGATCAGCCTGACATCTGAGCTGAGAACAGGCTTGGGGGATGCTCCCGGCAGCCAGACACACAGCTCGGCCAGTGACAAGGGCTCTGGGACTGCCCAAACCCCCTCTGCCGTGGTGGTGATGGCCACCAGCATGGCACAGCGCCAGCCCCAACTCCCTTCCCTTGGCCAGGCCCTTTGCTGCACACAGGCCGCTGCTGGGCTGGCCCACGGCTCTTCATTTCTCTGTCTTTGGGGCTGGCAACGTGGGAAAATTTGAAAGTGATGTGAGTAATTTCACCTGACTGCGGCTCGGCTCCCCAGCGAGGCTGGAAACCGCAGCGCTCGCCCTGGCCACCAGCTCCTGCTGCTCCTGCTCCCTGCAGGCTCTCCCAGCCTTCCCTCAGCACGGCCAGGCTCCAAGGGTCACTGAGGGCTCGTGGGACTTCCCTCTCACTGCAGGCTCCTGGGCACCCAGCGGCTCCCCAGTGCAGGGTTTCCAGCAGTTTGAGCTCTTGGCGTGTTGGCTGATGTTCTGGGAGCTGTGGCTTGTGCAAGGCAGGCAGCACCCTGTTGTCCTCCATGGGGAGCACCCCTTGAAGTCACATCCCCAAAGAAAACTTAACAGCATGAAATTTAACGTTTTACACCATTGGAAGGGGCAGTGGAGTTAAACTACTTTATTTTAGTTCTGAATTGTCTTCTACCCGAAAATTAATTAAAGTAATTCCCATTCATAAAAGCAGCAGTGGAGCCCAGCACTGGTGGGATGTTGGGATCCTCAGCAGCCCCCCAGGCAGTGTGGTGTGACCACTACTGCTTTTAATAGCAATGTTCAGTTGTAGCAAGGAATACTTTTCACAGGTTACAAAACATCCTCTTTTTTAAAATTTGTTTCTTTTCCTAAACTGATCCAAGCAAAAAAAAATATTTTTTTTCCTACAATATTTTCAGTTAAAAACTCAAAGAGTCTTACCAGCCATGGAAATTTTTTAGATTGATCATTTCACTCAAATTTTGACTTCTGGCCTTCTGTGCTACATTTTTCTAAGGTTAGCTTTAAAGTTTAACAGAAAAATCCTCCATCAAACCAGCAAAGTAAAACTACTCATTTTTAGCATGTCATGACTAAATAGATAAGTCTTTTAAAAATTAATTAAAATACTTGCTAACACAAGGTGCTTTCCAGAAAATGTTTGATTATAATCTCATACCATTCTCTAGTGAAAACCCCACATTTAGATTAAAATCATTTATAGTTCTGATCAACCAGCAGCATCCCAGCAGCTTGTATAACCCCACTGCTACCTGTGGCCAGAGCAGTGTCATGGAAAATGGGAGCAAAGGCAAAGGATGTGGAGCCTGATCAGGCACCTTGGAGCCAAAATTCATGGAAACTCCAGTGGTGAGGGTGATCCTCATATGCAAGATCCACTGGCTTTGGATGTGCTCAGAGGAAAGAGTTTTCTGTCTGGCCTTGAGATCCCATCACAATCACACACTTGAGTGGGGAGATCTAATTTTGCCTTGCCAACAATTAATCTTTCTTAATAATTAATGCTACTGTCTTTTCTCTTTGTTCCTCCAATTATCTCTAGTTATTAAAGTCACATCTTGGCTTCAAGGAGGGATCTTCTTCCCTCAGTAGCATTGGGTTTTTCAGTCATTTTCAGGGGGGTTGGTGGGATGGTTGGTGCTGGGAGGGGGATGCACTGCAGCATCAGTGCCTGGCCCAGCACACAGGGGAGGAGGGGGCAGTGCTCACATGGGAGCTGGGCACACAGCAGAGCTGCAATTTAGCAAATTTGAGGTGGGGGAAAAAGCCCTCCAGGCTTGCAAACCCCATCCTGCTGCTCCATCTCCTCTGGAAATGCCATTCTGCAGTTGCTGTAAATGTGTCTCCTCATTTCTGCACGAGGTCATGGCTGCACTGCTCATTCCCCAACCTGTCTTCAAGGGGCTGTGCTGGAGGAGATGGGGCAAAGCTGTCCTTGGAGCCCCTTCAGGTCCCCCCATGGCTGCTGAAGGACAGGAGGTGACAAATTGGTGTTGGGGCCATGATGTTTGGCACCAGCAGCGTTATTTTTGGTGGTTGGGTAGTGAGCAGCTCTGTCACTGCAGCTCTGGGCTGTGTTGAAACCCAGGAGACAAAATAGGATGCCTTACCAAACCACAGCCTGTCCCCTGTGATGTCCTGACCAGCAGCACCCGGTGTCCTCCCAGGGGACCTTCTGAGAGAACACCAAACCACTGCCCTTGTGTCAGCACTCTTGGGAGAAAACATTTACATCAGGCTAACTTCATGGCATAAAGCATTGTCAGTTGCTAAGTCCTGGCTTTGAAAAGCCTCTTCAAGGTTCAGCTGCAGCTGGTTTGCAGGAACACAATCTAGACCTTGCAAAAAACAGGGAATTGATCCCGTTTCCCTGGCACACGGATTTCTGTAAGCCAGGTATGGTTTCATAGTGCAGCTGGGGAAGACCAGGAGCTGCAGTCATGGCCATGGGCCACAGCCATTGGCAGCTGCAGTCTTTGAACCAGGATCAACATGGAGTTTTCTCTATTTCTCCATATTTTTGTGCAGCATTTCCTCCCTCCCTGATTTTGGGAGATAGGTTCCTGTTACAAACTCCCTAATGGAGGAAGTGGAAAGGGGGATAAATAGCCTCTTGCTGAATTTTTTCTTGTCTGCTTGCTGGTCATTCTTCCCCACCAGATCTTTATGGCTTTAGGGAGTAAAGAAGTTTTTGAGTGAGGCAAGGGCAGATGTAGAAGGGTCATGGGGAGGCAGCTCTTCTTACTGGTGCAGCATGTTGTTTTCCATCTGAACTGATGGAAAAACTGAGTAACTGAACTGCAAGTTTTGTTGTACCACCACTGAACCATTGAATCTCAGAGTGGTTTGGGTAGGAATGGACCTTAAAAAACATCTCCTTCCAATCCCCTGTCTCCTGCCACTGCTCTGAAAGCTGTTCACAGCTGTCAGGCAGCGAGGCTGGCTGGTGAATGGTGCTGTGCTTTGGATCAGGCATGAGGCAAATGGGAAAGAAAGATCTGTCCTACTTTGAACAGAAGAAGTGCTTGAGTTGAGGTTTTCAAACAGCTCAACACTGAGCTTGTTCTGCTCCAGTGTCATGTTAGAATGTACACGTAGAACTGCATATCCCTCATTTAGGCTTTGTGGCTCTTAAATAAGCTAAACCATAGCTAATTTTAGAAATATCACTGAAAAGCTCTTCTTCATCTCATTTCATGGCTAAGAATAGAAAGAGCTCAGAGCTCCAAACATGTGTTTAACTGAGCAGGAACCAGCCCAGTGCTGCTCTTGATGGGAAAACCACATAACCCATGGCCCTGCTGCAGGACAGGAATGCCTGTACCACACCAGTTTGTGCTGGGAAGGGGGATTACATTCCCAGTACCCCACTGTGTGCAGTAAACCTACACCTGTTAAGCACCAGGAATTAGGGTTTTCATTCATTCTCAAATGCAAACCTGCGAGCCTCTTGGTTTTTATTTGCATGAGCAAACCTTTGTGGGAAAGGCAGATGTAAAGCAGTGTCTCCATCAGTCTGTTTTCTTTTCCGCTTCACGGGTTTCCTCCTCAGAGCAGGGATGCAAAACACAGGACTTGCCCAGGGCTGCCAGTTCGCTTGGAGCAGCCAGGATGGGTCCAGGACAGGTTGATCAGAGCCACTGTCTGAAAAAGCCAGCCAGAGCTTTGTGCTCATTCTGCCTGAGCAAAATCATTACCAAAGTGGAAGGCACCAGTGAATTGAGTTCAGAGATTGTAAATGACTTGTCAGAAGTCACACAGCAAATCATCTGCAGACATCCCCATGAGACTGATGAAAACCGGCTGGCATGCCCAGCTCCTAGCCCCTGGAGAGCTGTCTGACCTGCTCTGTTCCCAGACTGACCCTGTTCTGGAGTGCTGTTAGTCCTGGTTTCTTTTGTGGATTTATCTGGGACAAATCCTAACTTTCCACCACCAAGATGAAGTCAGTTTGAATTTAAAGGCAACCATGGGCGAAACTGGGCATGTAGGAAACAGCTCGAGGCACTCGAGGCGAGGAGGCAGCGTAGATGGCAGCGTGTGTGTGTGTGTGTGTGTGTGTTCCTCACTGCTGTGCAGCTCTTCCAAGCAGGTTCCCCTGTCTCTGCTCCGACATGCAGGAGGACTTCCTGTTGTGTTCACCAAAAAGGGCCTTTTCCAAGGTGTTGGGCTCCGACAGCCATGCTGCACGTAGCGAGGAGCAGCTACAAGAGGAGACAGATTTTTCTTTGATTACTTTTCCTGGATTTTTTTTGCATCTCCAGAATTACCTCAGCTCCCTCTGGTCCTTCTCCAGCACTGGAGCTCAGCCCAACAGGGATTGCAGCCCAAGGGCTAACTGGTGACCATGTCCTGTTTCCAAAGACATTACCCTCAGTGCTTAATGGTGGCCTTGGCAGTGCTGGGTTAATGGTTGGACTTGATGATCTCTAGAAAGTCTTTTCCAACCCAAATGATTCTGTGATCCTGTGTCTGTCCTTGCATGACAGCCCTGATTAAGAAATCCCAAACATGACTTTCACAGTGAAGATGAAGGATTCACTGTGAAAGTCCAGATTTAGACCCTGTGGTAGTCCAGGACAGAGAACAAGAGCTTTGCATTGGGTAACAGACTTGGAGCATTCATCCTGGAGTAAAAGATACTGGAAATGAATGGAAAAAAAGTTCTGAACTTTGAAAACTTCAAGCTGGTTTGATCTGTTTTCCACTTATCCAAGAAATCATCTCCAGCTGTTTTCCCTGCTTGGTTTATGGATTGGGTTTTGGGTTTTTTTGCAGGATGCTGCAGTGTTTGTTTAGTAATTTGTTTAGTGTTTATGTAGTGTTTTTAGTTATCCCCAGCCTTGCTGGCAACAGCAGGACTGCAGAGGGCACTGACTGTCCTTGCTGGTGGATCCTGATGGCTTCTGAGTGCTCTGCATTGTTGTGTCTTGCAGTCCAACAAAGTTCCCGTCGTGCAGCCGTCGCACGGAGTGCACCCGCTGACCCCGCTCATCCCGTACAGCAACGAGCATTTCAGCCACGGCTCCCACTCCCCCCACCTGCCCGCTGACATCAACCAGAAACAAGGTACTGCACACTGGGACCTGCGTGCTGGGAGGGGGGCAGAGCTGGAGACCACTGGGGCTGGCACCTTCCTGGGACCTTCCTTCCTCTGGGACCTTCCTGGGCCCAAATCAATGACAAAAATCAGGACCTTTGGTCAGCTGGGACATTGCTTAGCAGGAGGAGGTTGTTTAGCTTCTTGGCAATGCTCTGTGATCTGGCCGTGGGCAGTTTGATACCAAAAGTGCCAGCCCTGCTGATGGGGTGTGCTCAGTTCTCTGTACAAGCTGTCCTGCACCTTGAGACCAGACCAGAGCCTGCACGATGCTGCACAAGAGTCAACCAGAAAATGGAAAGTAATCTTTCCTTTGACTCATACCCAAACTGTTGTCAGGTTGTCATTTTGAGAAAATAAATGCTTGAAACAGGAAATATTTTGACTAAACAGGATTGGTGTCTGATAGTTGACTGGACTGTGACATGTGTGTCCCCGTAGCCACATGTTATGTGGTTGTCACCTGGTTTGGCTTTTTGTGTTCCTGTGTGAGCCCAGGCTGTGTCAATTGGCTCATGAGGCTATAGAGGAAAGTACAGTATGTTGAGGTTAAACCCTCTAAAATAAACTGTAAATACAAGTATGTGTTGAGGAATTCACCCCCGTCCATCATTCTTCATGGGTTCCTGGCAAACTGAGTGTAAAATCAAACTTTTCTCAACCTTACATTGGTGTAGAACATCTGTTCAGATTACCCAGTTTTTTACACAAACCTGGGCTTGATTTCATGGGAAAGCAAGCAAACTGACAGTTTTGTGTCAAACTGCATTCAGGAAGGACAATGTCCATCAGAGCCCAGAAGCCAGTGCCAAAACAGAGGCACAAAACCAACTGTTGGGATTTGGCCAAAGGCCTCCACTCAGGAGTGATCCAAACCATCCCAGAGGCATCAGCTTCACCAAGTTAACATCACAGATAAAACAATGGGTTATTGAGGATGCTCTTGGCTGGAGGACCCACTGAATAATCCCTGGTCTAAACCTAGAGGCCACACTCTGGACTCATCAGGGATGCTGATGGGTAGTATTTAGGTCTGGAGGTCACATTCTGGACTCATTAGGGATGCTGATGGGTAGGATTTAGGTCTGGTGTAGGGGATACCCAGGCACATCCTGGTTGTTTTGCAGGCAGCATACTGCTTGTCAGCCATCAGAGCGTAATAAACTCAGCAGAAAAATAGAAAGAGTTAACAAATTGAACCTACTAAAAGCGCAGGTAATGAGTTGAGTCTGAGAGAAAGTGTGCAGGAAGGCAGCCCAACACACCTTCCCCCACGCTGCCTTTGCTGTACCTGGCAGAGCTCTGTCCCTCCAGGAGCTGTTCACCATGAGCTGCCTCCTGGGACTCACTGTCAGTCTGGGAAACCCTAAGTGCTACAAGAGCAGCTTACCCAAGGGCAGAGCTGGTTGAATCCGTCTGTGGAGGCTGCAGATGGCACTGGAGCAGTCCCTGAGCATTCAGCTCTGCAGTGGGTCAGTCATTCCAGGATACTGTCCTTGGGCTGCCCACCTGCACCCTCAGTCCAGTCTCCCCTTCCCATTTATCTGGTACTTCTACAGACACAGGGAGTCTGTTTGCCCCAGAGACCCGCCTTGTGCAATTTCAAGGAAAGGTTCAGCCCATGATGCCTTTGTGGTGCAGCTGTGATCATACATGCCCCATGCCTGCACTGCTGGGGGAGGGTTTTCTCCATGTTCATCCTGGATGTGCCCCATCTCTGTTTTCATCACTGAAACAGCTCCCACTATCACCCAATGTAAGCACTTGAGAAGCACTCTCATACTTGTTCTCCCAGCATCCCTTTAAAGTTTCTCACAGTAGCCCAAGGACACACAGACCAGGAAATACAAGCAGGAATTCTGAGTCAGTGGCTGGTGGCCCAACCACTGGGCCATCAAGAATAACTTGTGCTCTGACTTACGCAACTCGTATTGTTGGGGGTGCAAATCTGAGGATGTTCCATCAGCTGCCTTGTGCAGGCCTGCTTTTGTTTGAGCCTCCATGGGCCACTGAGTCCCACTTGAAGGAGGTCTTGTACTAGGTTATATATTCCTGTCAGGTCAGTTATGTATTTATTTTAGCTGACTCCTAATAAAATGCTTAGAATCAGTTGGTGTCATTCCTAATTAATAAGGTATCATTCAAACACCTAGGAGAAAAATCCAGTTGCAACTGCTTGCAACTCATCACCAGTTTAGTCCATGTGTTTATCATCCAGGAGGGCCACTGGATAATCCCTGTTCCCAGTTTTTGTCTGAGGCTCAATAGCAGCCATCACTGCGCTAGGCTGCTATCAGAGCTCAGCCCCAGCACCCCTCCAGTTTCCCAGTCCAGGGGTCAGCTGGAGGCTGGTTTTGCCAGCAGCGCCATGGTTGTCTGAGTCCCACCCGCAGCCCCAGGCAGCACAGGATGTTTCCCAGCCCAGCTAGGAACGGAGCAATGCTGTGGCTGTGTCCCCTGGCCATGCTGCTGTGCCAGCGGCTTTGAAGATCACACAGGGATTCCCCATGTGGAGGGTGAATTCCCAGCTGGCACCATACCCACCTCCATAGTTCCTTGGCACCCACAGAGCTGCAGAACAATTGTTTTGAACTCAAATTACTTAAAATTAAGTTGGAAGTGATGCCTGCTGGAGCATCCCCACTGCCTGCTCATGGGGGGTCCTGCAGATGACTGATGGAGAGGGAGCAGAGGAATGGCTTTGACCATCCACTGAGCACCTGAGTGGGCCCTCTGGGAAAGGCAGAAGGACGCCTGGAGTCAGCCAAATCCTTACCAAAGCACCGTGCTGCTTGGCCTCAGGGTGGCATGGAGCAGCTGTGATGCTTGTGCAAGAGCGAGATGTCTCCTCCATCCCCTACTTACGTTTGTGATTTTGCTGCAGTGTGGATGACCCACCACATCCCCACAGAGAGAAGCACAGGAAACACCAGCCTGCCACCTGCAGATGGCTATTCCATGTGGCTGTCCACAAGTGTCCATAGATGAAGCCGCCAGGGGGTTGGGAGCAATCTGGGTCACCTAGGGAGTGCAGTGCCACATTCAACTCCTCTCCTTCTCCCTTCTTCCAGGAGTGCACCGTCCTTCCCAGACCTCAGACATCCCTGGTTTCTACCCGCTGCCCCCCGCTGGAGTGGGCCAGATCACGCCGTCGATGGGATGGTGAGTGAGGGGGGCTCGGCCCCAGCCCCGGCCCCGCAGGGACGGGTCCCTGAGCCAGCCCGACCACTGCTGCTGCTCTCCGAGACCTCCACGGTGCCTTCCCCCAGCTTCACCCCTCCTGTGCGCTGCGTGAAGAGGGAGGAGAATTTAGCCTGTCTTGGAGGTGGGAGCAGAGCCGTGGAGAGGCTGAAGGCTTTGTCCTGGCTGAGGCATCCCTGGAGAGGGGTTGCAACCTGCCCAATCCAAAACTGCCTCCTGCTTTACATCTGTCTGTGTGGATTAGGGAACCCAGAGAGAGCTTCCTGCCCACCCCTCCTAATCACAGCAAAAGTCTCTCTTTTGAGTAGGAGGTAATTTTCTCCCTCACTGGACTTTTCGGCACAAACAGTGCTTTCCCTGAGCACACCACCAGTACAGAGTAATCCTGTGGGATGCTCCATCTGCCAGGCCGTGGTGTTTCTTGGGATCTGACACACAAGGAAAAAGTACCTCATGGCAGAGACCTGCCAGGAAGCAGCCCTGGTACCCACAGCCTGGGCAGTTGGTAACCACTGCCCCAGCAGGCATGGGAAGGCAGAGACCATGAGCTGGAGCATCCCAAAATGTACCCCCCGTGTGGGCCAGCCCTGCAGAGCATCCTGCAAAGCACAGCCTGCTGGTAAACCTGCCCCAAGTTAAAGATACACCAGTTAAATACACAAGTTAAAAATACACCAGTGTGTTCTCTGTGGTCATTGCCACTGGCTTTTGTCCCCGTGACCATGAGCACACTGAGAGAGCGGGTCTGGCAGGTGCTGCCGCGTGGGCATCGTCACTCCTCAGATTAATATTTAATCCCTGGTGATGATGTAGGGACATGGCAGAGGCTGGCAGAGAGACTGGTGGCTGCAGGTGGCAATTCAGGGTTGCTGGGATGAGGAGAGGGTGCAGGGCTGGTGATCACAGGGACAGTGGCCACATTCCCCCAGTGCCAGTGGATAAAACCCTGGCAAAGCCCGGCAGAGAGCTTCAGGTGAAAGAACATATTGCAGAGTGGGGAAGGGGAAGTTTCTTAAAGCACGAAGTAAAATGTTAGCTTTTGCTTTGTTTTGTTTATGAATTTCATGTTCCAGATATTTAACCACAAGGAAACAGAGAATGAGGCCTTTGATACAGAGTCTGGCTTCAAAGAGATTACATTTTGCCTTCTGTGCTAAATCTGCTACTTTTGGGTGATGATTTAACTCCTCATATGATGTGATTCATCCTCAGGAAAAACAAGGACTGGGGTGACTCTGCTGTAACATGAAAGAAACAGTTGGAGTGGGGAGAAAGGAGACTGTTTGTCAAATGGAAGGTCCACTCCTGGGTTAGGATGATGCTGTTCAGACAGCTCTGGGCTCATGAAGGGAGAGAAGTCTGGTTTTTTATTGAGATTTTGTGGGGCAGTTGGTGGTGGAGAGAGCTTCCATGGCTGAGAGCTGCTCCAGCATCCGTGGAGTTTGGCATCCTCCTGCAGCCTCATCAGATGTCTTCATTAATGGCTAATAGAGCAGATATGGTAAAGCAACAAAGGGCCTGACATGCAGAGAGCAGCACCTTGAGCACGTGTGTCTAATAGAGTTTTGCTCATTCTTTTCCTTGCCCAAAATGTATGGAAGAACCCCAACCCCACTTGTGGAGTGCCCAGTCCTCAGGTGAGGCTCAGCACACTGCTGTGGGTGGGTGCTGAAGCACTGAAGCCTGGCAGGTTCATGGCAGCATCCCCCCATGCCAGCAGCAGGCAGCAGGGGCTTTGTGCCAGGGATGGTCATGCCAGGGATACATCCCAGAGAAGCTGTGGCTGCCCCATCCCTGGAAGTGTTCAAGGCCAGGTTGGATGGGATCTTGAGCAACCTGGGCTAGAGGAAGGTGTCCCTGCCCATGGCAGGGGATTGGAACTGGATGATCTTTAAGGTTCCTCCCAACCCAAACCATTACAGGATTCCATGGTTGTGCTAATGCCACCAATAGCTGCCAGGCCAGGGCAGCTACACATGGGAAGCAACTTTTCCTCCACAAGCTGGCAGGCAGGAGCTGGGCACAAACTGGCTTTGCTCTCACTGAGCGCTTGAGGAGGAGGAGCTGCAATCACTCTCTCTGTAATTAAGCTGGGATGACAGTCAGATAAAAGCTTCCAAGAGTCCAGTCAAGTGAGTTCTGCTTATGGGAGCCTGGCAGTAAACATGAGCCAGGAACCTGCAAATTGTGTCACTCACTGTGCCCGGGGCCGAGCACAGTGGTGCCATGGCAGCCTCTCCTCTACCATCCCACAGCCTTCTTCCTGAGCCACCCTCCCATCACCAGGTGATTCTCTGGAAACAGGCTGAGAGAGCTGGGGTTTTTCAGCCTGGAGAAATTTCCAGGGAGGCCTCAGAGTCCCTTCCCGTACCTAAAAGTAGCTTATAAAAAAGAGGGAGAGGCACTTTTTATGTGGGCAGATAGTGATAGGACAAGGGGGAGCAGTTTTGAACTAAAAGAGGAAAGTTAGATCAGATGTTAGGAAGTTTTTTACGCAGAGGGTGGTGAGGCCCTGGCATAGATTGCCCAAGACATTGCAGCTGCCCCATCCTGAAGGTGTTCATGGTCAGGTAGCGCAGGGCTTGGAGCACTGGATCTAGGGAAAGGTGTCCCTGCCCATGGCAAGAGCTTGGAATGAGATGAGCTTTAAGGTCCCTTCCAACCCAGACCAGTAACTCCATGATACGGGCTGTAAGCGTGCACTCCCAACCATCAGGGACTGATTTTGCAGTTGCTTTAATTTTCGTGTCAGGGGGACTTTGGATGAAGCTGCAAGTGCCTGACTCCATTCCCATCCCAATACCCCAGCCCCTGGAGTAACCCAGGTCGCTTCTGGATTAGCTCCAAGTGTTTTCTTGGCCCTGGGGCAGCCGCCTCCAACTTCAAAGGCTGTTTGGGTTTCCCGGTGCGCGGCAGCGCTCGGCTGTTTGTTGGTGTGTTTATACCCCGACTTCTGAGGGGTCGGACAGGGCTTCTGCCTGCCAGGGTGTAAACAGCCCCGGCTGCCTTTCCTGCAGACAGATCCCCCAGATTTCAGTCCAGCCAGGAGGATTTCAGACAGCAGCAGGAACGGGAGCCTCCTTCCTGCCCAGCGCAGCTCAGGGGTCTGGCTGCTGCCCCGCTGTCATTATTCCTCTTCAGGGCAGAAACTTCTCTTTAGCCCTGAAAAATCCCAGGCATTCAGGAGCTTGGGTCCTTCACAGTGCACCATGCTAAATGATAATGGACTTTTTGTGGATTTTTTTCATCATTAGAGCTGGTCCTGGGTTTAGGTACAGCTCTGTGCAGCCTGGCCAGAGGAGTGTGAGAGCCAGCACAGTTGGAAGTACCCCATTGTTGGAAGCACCCCATCCCTGGAAGTGCTCAAGGCTAGGTGGGATGGGGCTTGGAGCAAGCTGGTCTAATGGAAGATGTCCCTGCTCATGGCAGGGTGGGTTGGAATGAGATGAGCTTTAAGGTCCCTTCCAACCTAAAGCATTCTGTAATTCTATGATCTCCATGTGCAGTTTTAGGCTAGAAGCATCTTTTGGCAGGTTTACAGAACAATCCAAGGTATTTTTGAGCTATTTCCATATGAAAATGTGGGGGTTCCCTTACTGGGAACAACAAGGAACTTCCTACATAGTTATTTTACTATCTCAAAAATAATTTCCAGCCCCAGGTCTGATACATGTCTGGTCCCCAGTATGAAACAGCTTTCAAAAAGAATGTAGGACTGAGCTTTTGGCTTCTTTAAAACTGATGGGTGTCCTTAAAAGGGTGTGCTGAGGAAATCAGAGCATTCCTGAAGTACAAAGGCAGGGTAGCTGCCTTCTCTCCAGGCTCCAGGAGTCTCCTGTGCTTGGGGCATCACAGCATCACAGAGTAGATGAAATTGGAAGTGACCACAGTAGTCATCTGGTCCAACCTCCCTGCTCAAGCAGAGTGGTTTCAGAGCACATGGCACAGGATTGTGTCCAGACAATCCTGGGATATCTCCAGTGAGAGAGGCTCCACACCCTCTCTGGACAACCAGTGCTTGGTCACTGCATGATAAGGAAGTTTTCTTTATATTTATCCTCCTAGTGCAGCTTCTTATGCACCTCACAGAGAATCTAAGCAGGCTTTAAATTTTTTTTCTTTTTTTTTTTTTTTTTTTTGTCACACTGTGCTCTTTTGACCAACTTCTTCTGTGCAATAGCAACATCTGATTTTTCAGCACGCCTCTGCACTTTGCATTATTACCAGGTAAACTCAAAGCTGCAGTTTTAGTCAGTACCAGGGGCAGAGGGGGTCAGAACTGGATCCAACCTTTGTAGGAAGGCCCACAAAGAACTTCCGTAGGTTCTCTCAAAATAATAACATCCAAAGCCCACACTGCCCCTCAAGCGTAAGGCACACCGAGTGTCCACCCAACCAGGGTCACCAAGTCCTGTTAGCACAGGGTATCTTTAGGAAATACCACGTAGCTGTGGATACTTTATAGACTCTTTCTTCCTGATCCCAGGCAGAGCCAGTCTGTCTATCCGCTCCCGTCATGTGGATTTAGACAGCCGTACTCGTCAGCGCTTTCTGCTGGGGCTTCTTTCTCCAGGTGAGTATGAGCTGTGGCAGACAGGGCAGCTCGGCTGGTCACGCAGCTTGCAGTTTGTGCAGCAGGAGCTTGCAGCAGACCACAGCCACCCAGGGACAGCCACACACCCTCCCCAGGCAGCCCCGGCGAGAGAAGGCGCTTTCAGGCAGTGTCTGGTCCAAAGGGTGCTCAGGGGAATATTGAGGAGGAAGGATGCACAACGGTTGGGATTTTTTCAGCAGTGCTCTAAAGAGAGTCAAAAACTCCAGCCTTCAGCTCAGCCTTGGGAAATGGGGTGGAATCCATTGCTCAGGACTTTGCTCCGTGTCACTAATCCTGAACGTGTCCCTGCTGCCACCACCGCTTTGCTCTGCAGAGATGGATCTGGTTTACTTGGTCTGAGCTTTAAAAGCAGGACAGGAGGGGCAGTGATTTGCTGCCCTCCCATCTGAACAAGTCATTTCTGTGAGATACAAACACAGCTTCTGCCTTTGGGTGAGCAAAATGCATCCCCTGTGGATGGGAACCATGAGCCCAGTTCCTCCAGGCGTGCTGCTGGGCAAAGCCCTCCTGGTTCCATAGGGATGCTAGGGCCACACCAGCTTTTGCTTCTGCTTCATGTTGTCCTGAAGAGCTGTTAGCGGAGATTTCCCACAGGAAAGCTGTGCAAACCCTTGCTCAGGCGAGCCCTTAGCCATGCAGAAACCTGGATCCATGCAACCCTCAATCCATACAACACTTGATCCATGCACCCCTTGATCCATGGAGCCCCTCAGCCTTGCAGAAGAGGGGAGGGAGTGCTGCCAGCCCTCCTTTCTCGCAAGGTATCACCCATGCACAGCTTCAGAAGTGAAGCAAGAGGAGCTAACGGTTCCCTGTGGAGCCCCAGCAGCCTCCCTGAGCTCCTGCCTGCAGGATTTTGGGGTGGATTTTGCAGCACTGCTGCAGCCGAGAAAGTACACCTGGTCAGATAAAGATCAGACTGTGCTGGTGGATTAAATTAAACAGCTTTTCTTTTCGTGCCAGCATATCTAATGAACAGTTCATCTCCCATGGGCAATTCTGCCATCTCAAGCTGCAGTCATAAAGTGGCAAGCTTGGCAAAGCTGACTTTGCTGGCTTTATCCTCCAGAACTCGGGAGAGAGCTAATGAAGCCTGAGAGCTAATGAGACCTCTCGTGATCTCAGCCCATGTTGTGGAGAGCATTGCTTAGGCAAGGTGCACCTCCTAGAGTTGCAGTTGGGTTCATGTTCAGACTTAGTCTATTTCTGTTAAAAGAAAGGTGTGGGGTGGTCCTAATCTCTCCCATCCAAACCCCAAGTTGAGTTTGTTGTTCCTTTCTGCAGTGCTAATGAGATACTGCAACAATAGAGATTTGAGCAGCTGAAACTGCTGGGTGAAAGCAGCCTTGATCTCGGCAGGGCCGGCTCCTACTGCAGGAGCTTCCCTCGCCGTGGCACCGGATCCTGTCCATCCACGGCCTGACCAGCCGTGCCACAGGGGTGCCCCAGGGCTGGTGGGCACTGCCTGCCCCCCGCCAGCCTGGCAGCACCCGCGTGCTTTCCGTGTCCTCGCTTTCCGTCTGCTTGGCCGCGCAGAGCGCTCCGAGGACGCCCTGCTGCCCGGCCCGCCGTGCCCGGCCCGCGCTGCCCTCCCGGCACGCTCACCCGCTCTCTCTTGCAGGTTCACTCACCCGCTGATGCTGGGCTCTGGCATGCACACCACTGGCATCCCGCACCCCGCCATCGTGCCCCACTCCGGCAAGCAAGAGATGGAGCACTACGACCGAAACATGTGAGTGGGAAGGGCTGGCTCAGCAGCACACATTTCATCTCTCACTCCCAGTGCTCAGACGGGGGGAGGATGGATGAACACTGCGCTGTGCATCTGAGGAGCATCTCGGGCCCCCCACCTGCTCGTGCTGTTGTGTTGTTTTGGGGTCGAGTCTTCTGCTGGCTCTGATGCTGACAGCCCCTCCTTTTGTCCCACCAAGGAAACCTCAACCAGAACCAAAGAGAGAGAAGGAAGCCAAGAAGCCCACTATTAAGAAGCCCCTGAACGCTTTCATGTTGTATATGAAAGAAATGCGGGCGAAAGTCATCGCCGAGTGCACCCTGAAAGAGAGTGCTGCCATCAACCAGATCTTGGGAAGGAGGGTAAGAGCTCACGGGGCCAATGTCATCACCTAGTGCTACATCCCTGTCCCTTGCAGCTGCTCTTCAGTACATGACAAGAATCTGCTTCAAATCCGGGTGCTCTTACCCCATGAACGCAGGGGCTGGATGTGCCCCGCGGTGGGGTGGCCGTGGTGGGCTGGGCTGGGAGGGGACAGCAGGGCCATGCTTCACTGCTGTTTGTCCTTGCAGTGGCACGCGCTGTCCCGGGAGGAACAAGCCAAGTACTACGAACTGGCTCGCAAGGAACGGCAGCTCCACATGCAGCTCTACCCCGGCTGGTCTGCCAGAGACAACTACGTGAGTGTGGGACCCCCACCCTAGGGCATGGCCCAAAATGGCCTGGGGGGCTGGCAGCTGTTTACCAAACACCTGCTCCTGGAAATGCCTTTCTGGCAGCACAAGAGCCATAGAAATTCACATTTCAGGGGTATTTTGAACAACATCTTGCCTTATTGCCTGTGTAAAGGATGAAAGATACAGCCCCAAGCAACCACAAGCATTTTTTTGCTTATTGTCCAAGCAAATACAAATAGAAAGGAAAAGAAGCTTTTAAGTGCTGTGGAAATATCTTCGGGAATGTAATTTTATGGAAGCAAATGGCTCTGTGCATCTTGGACAGTAGCTGAGGCATCTGTGAGGGTGGTGAGGCCCTGGCACAGGCTGCCCAGAGAAGCTGTGAGTGCCCCATCCCTGGAAGTGTTCAAGGTCAAGTTGGACAGTGATTGGAGCAACCAGGTCTAGTGGAAAGTGTCCCTGCTCATGTCAGGGCGTTGGAACAGGATGTCTTTGGGGTCCCTTTCAACCCAAATAACTCTATGATTCTGTGATTTAAAATAGTGGCTCTTTTTGTAGGGAGTCTTTTCTTGCTACTTTCACAACTGTTTCAACATTACATGCCTACAAGGTCATTGGTGAACTGAAGCAAAGCACACATAAGTCTTCAGATGTCTGTACACCCACACATCTCCATCATTTCCCTCACAGACACTTTTTTACCCCTGAGAACTGCACAGTGAGTGCCCATCTTTCCCACACTGACTCCAGCTCTCCTTCCAGAATGACAAAACTCCACCAAGGGCAAGAAAACACCTGTAAACCACCCCAAACTCCTCCCAAAAACAGAGGGCAGAGATGATGCAGAAAAAGCAGAGGTGATGGGAAGCCCCCAGCCCACATTTTGATGGGCACACATCTGGAGGGCATCAGCACTGCTGAGAGCATGGCACCATCTTCCTCCAAGACCAAGCACATCCTCCATGGAAATCCCAGTCCTGTGTCATTTTCATCTGGTTCCTTGGCGAACCAAGGGCTGGTACCTTTCTCCAGAAGATGGATGGTGGGCTCCAAAAGTGCATGTTGGTCCTCCCAGCACTGTGAACCAGCTGGTTTGGGTGTTGTGGTTGCTGGAAGAGATGCTTTTCTCTCTGAAGTTGAGCAGGGATGAGGAGGAGGAGGAATGTAGGTCACTCGTGCAGCACATGATGCGGATATCAGGCAGGAAATACAGTTGCTCCCCCACTGAAGGAAAAGCTTACCGCAGCTCAGAGCTTTCCACCTTCACTCAAACCACAAGAAGTCATATAAAAAGTCACAGGTCAAAGGCAGCCCTGGGAGCTGCCTGTGCCACACAGCCAGATTTGCTTCCGTGCTGCTGTGCCCTCATTAACCAGCTCATTAGGGAGCATGGGGAGGTGCTGCATCTTGTGAATCAGAGAAGCAGTTTGGGGATAAAACAGGACTTTTTTATTAGTGAAAGAAGAATGAGAGATGGGTCCAGAACTGCAAAAGCACTTAAATACATTAGTATTATTTAAAAATAAATTTCTGGGGATTTCCTAAAACTTTCTTTCCCGTTTGGATCAGGGAATGTCAAGAACCAGTTTCAGTTTGGGTATAAGGCACCACATTAAAGCATGTTTTGGAAATAGGGAAGGTTCTAAAATGGACCAGGTGCTTTTAGAAACATAAGGAAGATGAATAAGAATATGACAGGAGCATTAGCTATTGATCATACTCTCTCCATTGCATGCAGCAAATCTTGTTTAATTCTGTTGATCTCATTAAACATTAATTAAATCATCAGTTCATTAATTAAAGCAATAATGGGTGGGATCCCCAGGTGAGGTGCATCAGAGTGGGCTGAGGAGTTCTGGCAGGAGCTGGCAGAGGTGCTGAGCAGCACAGGCACAGGCTTTATTACAGCTGGTTTACATCCAGTAACATTTTCCCCTCACTTTCTGACACAGCCTGCACCATAAATCTGGGTCTTAACTGCATTTTCAGCATAGTCCTGGACTCATAAACCTGAGCATGGAGCAGTGTGCTGGGGAGAAGATAGAGCAGGCTTGGGGGAAGGAGTGGGGACATGGCTGCCATTGCCTCTTGAGTTTATTGCAGTTTCTGAATATGCACAGATCTCACTCAAAGTGCTGAGCCAAAATGCCTGTGGTGCTGGATCCAGGGGTATTGGAAATGAGGGTTAATCCCTGAGAAAAGGCACAAGCCCAGAATGAATCTGTGCAGAAGCACTAACAAGTGCCCAAAAACACGTTTGGGTTTCACTTTGAGAGTTCCTCCTGGGTTTCTTCGTAGGAGTGTTGGAATGGGAAGAGTGGAAAGGAAGGGGACACCCTCATAGATAAACCTGGCTAGTCCCTTAGCAGCCTTTTCCAGTTCATCTCCTCCTGGAATGGGCTGACCCAGCAGCACTGTGGCTCTTATCTGGGAGGCAGCAGCCATCCCCAGCACCCAGTCCAGCCCCAAAAACCCTGCACTGCACCCTTGGTTTTTCTGGAGCACAGGTAACAGCCTTTCCTTTGATTTCCTAGGGGAAAAAGAAGAGACGAACACGAGAAAAGCAGCAAGATTCCAGCTCAGGTAAGTGCGTGCAGCCTGGCAGCTGTTCCTGCTTTCCTGCTCAGATGGGAGAATCCAAAGCAGTTGCTGTGTTTTACCATGTTTTCTTTTACTCTCCAGAGCTTAACTAGAGAAATACACATTCATTTATTTTTTTTTTTTAAGCTATGGTAAATTAACATTTCTGTGACTTTTTAATAGACATGTTTGATTTAGAACATGGGTAGTGTGTGAAAACTGAAAAGATTGTATTTTGACAAATGTATAATAACTTCATATAAACTTCATCTACTGAAAACATCCAAGGTGGATGTCCCCATCAGACCTACAGAATTCCTCTCAAATGCTTCCATATTGTGTGTGGGATGAAATGTAGTGGCAGGACTGAAAATCATTCATGGGACTACACCAGCTTTGGTTGTCATTTCAGAGTAATGTAGAGTTGAAGCAAAGTCATACTAAACCCCACCTCCCTGTACCACCCTGCCAATTAGAAAAGGCCCTTTTGACAGATTTCAGATGGTCACAGACACGTTCCCATCACCCAAGGCTATTCATGTGCTGATTTCTGAAGTATTTCTGCCATATCAGGAATAAATATTATCTGTGTATTTATTAATATTTATTATTTAATACATTAATATTTATTAATGTACCAATAAATATTAGTGAAAAAGGGAATCATTATCAAGAGATGTGTCCCAGTAATACCTTCAGTTTAATTAACACTGTTGATCTCATTCTGTGCTGAGTTTAATAAGAAGAATACAAGTTTTTAGGCCTTTATGTAGAGTGCACGGTATATTTTTATATATCTCTATATATGTCTTGTTTGTGTGATACAAAAATTGTAATTTCACCTGTTACAGATTGAAAACCAGCTACTGGCTGTATACAATGAGACATTCATTGATAGTGGTTGAAAGAGAGAGGCTGAATCCAGCACAGAAATGTGCTGTTCAAGCTCATTCCCAACACCAGAGAAAAACACGATGTGCCTGAAAGCAAACAGGGCTTCACCCTAGTGAGTCCTGTAATTATACAGCAAAACAGCAACGTTTTAGGAAGGTGTGGAGAACAGCTTTTCCATTCCAGCTGAAGGGTATGACGGGGGGCAGAGTGGAATACCTGGGCCTAGGTCTCCGTGGTGCTAGCTCTGCTTTCAGCCTGCTTCTGCAACGTTTCCTCCTCTTTTCTCCGCGCGCAGTCCGAGCTCGCTGGCAGCCCGGTGGTGTCTGCTGGAAAGGCAGGGAGCCGGGAAGGATGCAGATCCACGAGTCAGGCATCGCCTCCGGATTTGGCAGCTTTTCCAGACTTAAGAAATTGGAAGAGCTCTGAATTTCCCTGTAATTGCCCACGTTTCTCAAAGCTGTTTCCCAAACCACCTCCAGCTGCCAGCAGTGATCACTGATATTTGCCTAACGATCACTTTTTTCCAGGTGGTGCCAGCGCCATTCTGTAGCAGAAAATAATGGGATTGTAGTCTGTTAGTCGTGTGTTTAAAGTGGCTAAAATGATGTTGCCTCTTTTCTTCCTCGTGCTCCTCCTCCTCTTTGTGCCTCTGCCTTGCCCATTCTCCGCCGCGCATGCTTCTGTGTTCAGATCCTGCCTCTCCTAAGAAATGCAGAGCTCGCTTTGGCCTCAACCAACAAACGGACTGGTGCGGCCCGTGCAGGTGTGTATCGGCATCTCCTCGCTGCTGGGTGTTCCTGGGACAGGGGTTCAGCTCCAGGTGTCCTGCTGCAGCCATCCCGGTGTCCTGCAGCCATCCCAGCACCAGCAGAGGCTGCTCTGTCCAGGCAGGGATGGGGTGTGCTCTGGGCATCCTCAGGAGTTTTCTGAGCTGCAAAGGACAGGCCGGGCTCTGGGGTTTTTATCCCTTCCGGGGCAGTGTTTGTTTAGTGCTGTACATATTCTTCACCTGATAGACTTTCCTGGTCTTAAAAGTTTATTTCCAGGATGGAGACCTCTGTGACCCTTACATGAGGCCTTCTCTTCCAATCACATTAGTGGCACCCTAGGGCCAGCAAGTGAGGATTTAATGTTTTTTTTTTTTCCTATTTATACTGGGCTAACCATGTATTTCAAGATCCAGCTCTTTCTGAGCTTTAAATTTTGCAGTACCCGTCATGGGTGCGGTGGAACAGCCTCAAGCAGCAAAACAGAGCAGTGCTGTGCTCCTCAGGCTCCCAGAGATGGATTTGGTGAAGAAATAGTAAAGTTCACATCAACCAAGTTCTGCTGGGCTCAGAGGGGCTGCAAAGGCAGGCAGGCAGAGAAAGCTCCTGGGAGCTTCTGGATCTGGGTGCCAGAGCACAGAGAGACTCCAGCTTGGACAGATGTCTGCAATTTGCAGTTTTACACCAGTGCATGAGGAAAGAGGTGGAAGTAAAATATTGCTTGAGGTGTTTACTTCAGCTTGAAGTGACTAAAATCATTTAGTTGACCCATACCTTGCTGCACCCCAAGCTCCAGTCCCTGTGGCTGAGCCTTACATGAGCTCCCCTCCCGCACCTCAGCGTGCCACAACAGCAGAGCTCCCTGTTTGCCTTTTATTCCCTGGGTAGTGTCATCAAGCACCATTTTTAATTGATTAAGAATGCAGGAAGAGCTCCCTTAGTACCTGAATGTGCAGAGGGGGCTGCTGGAATGCCCCATGCCCCCAGCTGTGCTGCCAGGCTCAGTGCCCCGCTCTTCCATGGACACTTCTTCCACCTTCCCTCTGCCTCCAGCTCTGAACTCAGCTTCTCCTCTGCACGGCTTCCTGATTAACACAGGCTGCTGGAGTGCCCGGACACCTTGGCATGCTCTTCCTGTGTCCCCCGTGTAACCGAGCCCTGCTCAGCCAGAGCTGCTCTGCAATTCTGTACTAACACACTGCTGCCACTCAGGGGCTCCTGCCCAGCGTGCTCTGCTCACCTGTGGAGAACAACTTCCCCAGGAGGGTTTCCACTCCTCAGGAGAGGTTAACTGGTTAAGACTGGGTGTTCCTGCTGGAGCTTTCACACTCCTCCCCCACACCCTGGACAAACACTCCAGGGTGCTGTAGTTTCCAAAGTGAGAGGGATAAGTTCCCTTAAAGAGAGAGAGATAAATTCTTTTAGCTGTGTAACACCCACCTCAGCATAACCCATGGACTAGGCCATTATCAGCAGTCTGTAGTGTCACATCTGCTTTTTCCCCCTGTAAAACTCCAATGAATCAATGGGCACATTGCTGTAATCTTAAACAGGTCATTGAAACTGTCCTGCAGCTACTGCCAAGATGTCTCTGGGAAACACAGCTCTTCCTCAGGCTTGTCTCTGGGGAATTACTACCCATGGAAAATACCCTCGAGTTAAATAGTTCAGCTGAGCTGTCGTGTTTCCTATCACATTAATTGGGTCAGCATGGCTAACGATGGCACTGACAGCAGTAATACCACTGCTCTTGTTCACATCCAGTGCAAGTCATGTTTAATACTGGACTGGTTAATACTCATTCTCACACTCTCTGGTTTTTCATTAGGGAGATCAAAGAAAGGTGTGTGCCCGCATTAGCGAGTTCTCCATTTGATCCGCTTTCCTCAGCTGAGACAGCCGAGGCAGGGAGCCAGCTGGGAGATGCTCTTTTACCTGCTCTAGCTGTAAAGGCTCCAGCAGAGGAATTGTCCCTTCAGTACTGTTGAGGTGACATCCTGAGAGCTCTTTTGTTTGAGGATCTGTACTGAGGTGCTCAAGGACCCAAGGCAGGTGACATGAGGGATCTGTCACATGGCGAGAAGGAAAACCAGCTCAACAGTCTCAGTGGAGACAAATAGTGTGAGGGACTGACTCTGGACAACCAGGGGTAGTTAAAACAATCTGGATGTACAAGGTGACACCTGGAGCTCAGGATAAATACTGAATTGTCACAGGATGTGAAGGAATCATGGCCAAACCCAGCTAGAGCAAGAATGATGTGTGACTTGTATTTTTGATACCCCCAAATCATAACATACAAACATGTGGGGAACTTGAGTGTTTCTTCCAGGAGGGATTAAAGGAAGCTGATCCCTGCTCCCTAAGGCAGGTGCTGCTGCCTTAGGGACCTTCCCAGTCCCAGCAGATTTCTTGCTAGAAGAGCAGGGCTGAGGGATGAGAGCTGCCCCCAATGCATACTGTCCTGTAAAAACCCCTTTGGGTCAGTAAAGCCATCCCCAGCTGATGAGCTCCATCACACTCCACAGAATGGAAGTATGGAACTGATTCTGTCACCACTGCAGCACCATTCTGCCAATCTCTCTCCCTAGTGTCTGCCCACACTGCATTTTGTACCTGTACTCCACTTCCAAGGGAGAGGTCACATCCCAAACACTTCCTCTCCAGGAGCCCCATGGGCTGCAGTGTGATCGGTAGCTCTGTCAGGCTGATTTTCCTTTAGCTCAGTGGGCAGGTTCAAGGTGATCTGCCCTCCAAGGAGCAACAAGTCCTCTGAAGGCCTCAGGTCTGTTCCGGTTTTCAAAGCAGGACCTCAGACACCCTCAGACCATCTCCCTCCAGCCAGTCCCAGGCCATTTCCTTCCCTTTTCCTGAATGGTTGCTGAGCACATTTCTGAGTTGTTCTTGGAGGTGGGGATGAATGGGAAGTACACTCACATGCAGAGATAACTCAGAGCAGAAGAGAAGAGCTGAGAGCTAAGGCCAGGTTGGATGGTACTTGGAGCAACCTCTGGTCTAGTGGAAGGTGTCCCTGCCCATGACAGACAGGTTGAAACAGGATGAGCATTAAGGTCCCTTCCATCCCAAACCAGTCCATGGTTCTAAGTAGATGATACTGTGCACAAGGCTAGGGAAGTGCTGGGAAATGAGCTCTTGGAACCTTCAGATTTTGGGATGAGAAAAGCCGAGACTGGTGTGAAGGGCAGTGTCCCAGCAGAGCACCTGGGGCTGCTAAGCTCAGTGGTGCTGATGTGCCCTATGACACCAGTGAGCACGACTGTCCCTTGGGCCCTGCATGGGCTCTGTGGCAGCTGGAGAGGGGATCCATGGGGGGAATGCTTTAGTCCTGAACTTGTGAGAGCCAGGCACTCACACAAAGCAGTTGGTTTGGTGGCTGGTGAGGAATGACCTAATGGGTTGGATTTTTATTATTATTTTGATTTTTTTTTTTAATTTTGGGGTGTTTATTATAATTTATATTATTATTTTTAAATTGTATTGTTTCACTTTTTTATTATTATTTTCATTTCATGCCTTTGATAATTATTAATATTTTGGGGTGTTATTTTTTCCTTTTCTTTTCTTTTTTTTTCTTTTTTCCTGTTTTCATTTTAATCACCGCATTTTGATGTTTACTCCTGTTTCACGCCCTGCTCCTCCTCCTCTCCCGCTGCGGCCGAGCCCCTTCCTGCGGGCCCGCTCCCGGCCCGCCGGCGCCGCCTGGCGGTGTCCCCGCAGCGCTGCAGGGAGACGGGGACGGCGGATCCGGGGGCTGCCGGGACCCTCCCGTTACTCACAGAGGCCTCTCTCTGCTGTTCCAGGAGGAAAAAGAAGTGCATTCGGTACCTACAAGGAGAAGGACGCTGTGCCAGCCCAGTTTCTTCCGATGGAAGTGCTATAGACTCCCCTCCATCCCCACCGGACGCACTCCGATGCATCCCCTCCGCCTTCCCGTCAGAGCAGCTCGCAGCCCCCGCCGACCCCGCGCACCGCGACCAGCCCGACCCCTGCCCCGTGTCCGCGCACCTCCCGCCCGCCTCCGGCCCCTCCAGACCCGGCGCCCGGCGCTCCTCGGCGCCCGCCGCGCCCCCCGCCTACAGCCGCGCCTCCTCGGGGACATAGTCCCTGCACTCCGCCCGCCCGCCTGGTTCCGCTGCCCCCGGAGGAGGACCAGAGGCCCAGCCAAATCCCCATCTCACTGTAAAACATGCAAAGTTTGGCGACAGGATGACTTAAGGATGATGGAAAACTCACTTGGCTGGGGTTTTTTTGGAGGGGAGGGGTGATAAAGATAGAAAAGCAATTTCAAAAAAAAAAAAAAAGGTAAAAAATAAGTACTTGCCAAAATTTAAAGTGCTGATGAGTAAACAAGCCTTTTGTCCCTGCCCTGTGATGCTTTTTTTTTTGTTTGTTTGGGGTTTTGTTTTGGTTTCTTTTTAACTGCATTATCTCCAAGTGTGGCAGAGAGCAGAGCCACATCCCCAGCTTGCTGCCGTAGGTGGTAGGTGCTGTCAGTCTAACCCTGGCTTCCACTCCCTGCCCTCCGAGCTGCTTGAAAGTGTAGTCACTCACAGATCTCCCATAGCCGCTACACCAAGGAGCTGGAAAAGCTGGAATAGGAGAATTTTTTAAAAGCCCATATGTCTGAAAAGGAAACGAAGCGATGCCAGCATTCTGATCTGACCGGGTAAAAGAGGAATTAAATATTTAAAGCAATGAGGTGAATTTTTTGAACTTCTTGTTTGAGAACAGGCAGATGTTGTTTGCAGGTAACAGGCCTCTGTGCAGACATGTTCCGTTCCACAGTTGTACAGCAAGGCAGAGGACAAGGGAGCACCAGCCAGGCAAAGGAGCACAGACCAGCTGCTGGAAGGGCTGATGGTTGCTCAGGGCATCAGTCAGGTGCAGGTCTGCCCTGCTGTTAGGAACTGTCCTCTGCAGATGTGGAGATGGTCAGAAATCCCAGCAGACAGACTGGCCAAAGCCTCAGAAATCAGTCTGTTGCTTTTGTAGGCTCTGATCGAGCTCTGCACCTCCACAGCAGTGAGCAGGGCAGGGCATGTGGGGAGCCAGCAGCCCCAGCAGGCTGGCCAGTGGTGCAGTAGCACACCAGCCAGGGCTGAGGACCACGCTGGCCAGAGGTGCAGTAGCACACCACCAAGGGCTGAGGACCACGCTGGCCAGAGGAGCAGTAGCACACCAGCCAGGGCTGAGGACCACGCTGGCCCAGCAGGTCCTTCAGGGGAGGTGTGAGCTCTCCTGTGGCAGGGCAGTGTGAGCAGCGTGGCAGCACAGCAGCACTCGCTGCCCTGCTCTGCAGGCATCTGTCTGTCCATACCCTCGGTGAGATAAGAACCCTCTTTCTCATGACTCAGTGTAGAACTTTTTAAAAAACCTTATTCTAGCTTTTTCTGAAAGATTCTCCCTCCCCCCCAATGACGATGCCAAATGTTAATGCATTCTCTCCAGCTTTAAAATATTTACCATTTTCTGGTATTGTATTTATATTTTGAGTTTGATAAACAAAAAACACTGTGGATGAATTATGATATCCATGAACTGATGTAAATCCCAAATAATTCCAAGTTCTGGATTTACTTCAGGTTTACAGTCTTCTCAGAGACCACAGTCTAGTCCAGTGCAGACTTTTTTTCCTGTATGAAAGAAATCTATTCCAGACTGCTGAAGAGAAAAATGACACCACACAGAGGTAGAGGGAGCACTATTTTTTTCCTACTTGATAGATGGGTTTTGGAGTACTGAATACAAATTATGTAGTAATATTATTGTAGAACTGCAAGAAATTTAAGATGACCTTTATAATGTACAAACTATTTTTATATTTTTTTCTTAATGCAAAAACACAAACCATAATTTTTTACATTGGATTAAACATAACTTTTTAACCGAGTTTATGCCTCAAAGATTTAAAAATTTAAAAAAAAAGCCAAACCTAACTAGTCTATAGAGCAGCTTTGGGTTTAGTCCCGTAATTTAGATGGTTTTGCTTCTAGTAGTGTAGATTTTTTATTTCTGGTTTTAGTTTTGAAGATCTAAACCTCTTTCTTTATTCCTCTCCTGTATAAATGTAACTTCAGAAGCACTGACAGAAAGATATGTGCACAAATCTGACAAGTTTGCAAAGTCATTTTGAAGTTTGAATCATTTTAAGCCTTGGAGAAGTAGCATTACCTGATGCAATGCTAAGTGTACACTTTTGTACGGACTGCACTCAGAGGGTTAATTACACAGCACTAGACCGATATGCAATTTGCTCATTTTAAATTATTTTAGCAAGCTTAGCCAACAGCATGTTCCGGTGCTGAACAGAGAAACTCAGTAGACTTGCCAGACCTGATATGGTCTCTTTAATCATTTGATTTTCAAGCAAACAAACAAAAAAACCAGCTTTAAAAATGGCTGTGTCTCAGCTCATCATTTGTCACTCTGAGACTCTGCTGTAAGGTGCTGTAAGTGTCACCTACTGGAAACACCAGAGATGACAGACCAGCCACCATAGCCTGGTGTACCCATACTGGGTGTAAGGCTGGTGCAACTCAACACCCCACTGCTATTGCGTGGTGTGATGACAGATGGAACTTAGCAAAGCGAAGGCAGGTAGAAAAGAAAAAGCAGATGTGTCTAAATAACACCAGAGGAAATTTCTGGGAAAGTCCTAATCAGTATTAAACTGGCCGAGGCACCTCATTCATTTCACACCCTGGGACTTTCACCCACTTATTTCAAGGCTCCTCTGGTGAGTCCCTGCCTCGACCAGCAAAAGGCTCATCTGCATTACAGCCTCCTCTCACCATTGTTATTCCAACTGATTCCTGCAAAAGCTCCTTAGTGACACCTAACCCGCCCTCTCCAGGAGCCCTTCCGTGTGCCCTCGGCACAGAAGCATGATCAGAGCTGGAGCAGTCACAGCCACAGCACTGTGTGTGCTCTGCTCTGTACATACAGGCCAGACCTTACCCTGTGCTTCCAGCTGCTGCAGGATAAACTCACAATACCCACTTGTGATATACTAAACTGAGAAAATGTCATTATTTTTATCCCAAAACACAGAAAAGATACTGTTTTTGACCGCCCCTTTCCAAGACAAAACAGCATGACTGACTTCTGTTCCACGGCCCCATGGCTGATAACCAATGCCAAAACAAACTTATTAATACCAAAAAAGTGTCTTTCAAACTGCTATATGAAGTGTTGCTATTTTGTGTTAATACTCTTTTTAATAAAAGGAAGACTTTGCCCTGAAGTTTTTATCTCAACAAGAATTTTTTTGAGTTATTTTACAGCAATTTTAACTCTTCCTGAAATACGTATTTGAATTCCTGGAATCAGTCTGAATGTAGAAGTCATGGAAGTACCACTTCATTAAAACAAGTAAAACCACTGTATGTATGTAGCAGGGATAAATGTTTTGCAGCTGTACCTTCATTTGTCCAATGACTATCCATCATTTGTTGTAATTTTTTTACTTCACTGAGTTTGTATTTTTTGGCTTTTATGTTCAAAGTATGTTTATAGCTTTATAAATAAAGTAATTGCCAGATTGGCTGTTCAAAAGAGGCCACTGGAAGTTATAATGCTATCAAACTCTCAAGTAACTATTTCTTAGCATTCAAGAGGATTCCTGCTTGCTTTTGTTTTTTCCCTTCAGCATTTGTATGGTTGAATAGTTTTTAGAATAACTGCCAATAACCTTCAGTGGGTAAGACTGAAATACTAAGCCGAGGGTACAAAGAAAATACTTTTTTCCTACAATTCCTACTGACACACAGCCTTGCCTCTCCCTACCCCCACACTCAATCCAAGAGAAGCCTGATCCCTGATCATGCACTGACTTTAAAAAAAAAAAAAAATTAGGGGGGAAAAAAAGTCCCAGCTTTAATACAAGTTAAACAGCAACAGAAAGTTTAACAGTGGGAAATCAGTCTCTCCTGCTTTCTGGAATTTCAGAGTACACAGCCAGTGCCTGTTACAGCAGCAAGAGCAGATTCAGCTGAAGCATGGAACACAGGCAGCAGCCACAGCACAGCCCAAACTGTCAGCACCTCCCCAGTGTCTTTCTCTACAGCTGAGCACCAGTATTACTGGAGTAGGTAAGACAACTGAGATTAAAAAAACCAGTCCTTTCCTGCTGACATCCCTGTCAGGCAGCTACAGAATTTGAATCTGGCTGAAGTCTGAGTCAGTACTGCAGGGGAATTTCAATTAGAGAAAGTAAGTTGTATGCAATCATAACTACCAAGACTAGTGAGAGTATTACGAATCTGCCAAAGCTACACAAATGCCTTGAGCACACAGAGCAGCCCTCCCCTACACCTCCACAGCTACTTCAGTGCCAACAGCCAAGTGTCACAACCTGGGGCTTCAGCACAGGCCCCAGCACTGCACATCTGACCAGCGCAGCTCAGGCTTTGGGCCAGCTGCTCTCACAACTGCCAAGTTTTATCCCAGGTGTGGTTAAGCAGGCACAGCACAGTTGGAGCAGTGCAACGAGGAAGATAAACTGTGTCTTTGTCTCTCCCTCACCCTGAAGCAGCACGAGGCATCGTGCAAGGCGGTGGCTGCTGACAAACATTAACACTGGGCTCGTGACAAGCACCCAAAGGAATTTACACAGGCTGCTGCCACCAAACAATTACACCAGGCTTCTGAATATTAACTACAAACATAGCCACAGAACAGACATCACATTTTCCTCTAGTAGCACTTCTAAACTGAGGTGCATTGTTTGCAATACAGGCTCCTGGAAAGGTTTCAGCATGTCCAAATGTAGCAGTGGAGTATTTCATGGCCACTGACAATGTCTAATTCACCCAATATAATGCACAGCAGCACAAAGGCAAGCCCCATAACCTCTGAGGAACCAGATGTGAGGAGCAGTTGTATCCAAAGCATGGGTTTGAATACTACTTTATAGCAAATTCTGAATGCTTTCATAATTGTTACATCCAAGAATGTAGGCAATCTTGGTAAGCCATCAAAAAACCATCACCCAACTTCATCTCCAAGTTGCCCACTGTGTCTGACCAGTACCCTGCATTAGTCACTTAAAAACTTCACATCTGTTTTATTTCAATTAACCACTGCCTCAGTGCTATTATTTCTACACTTACTACTAAGTGACAGTAAAATTGTCTAGTTCCAAATAACTAGAACCATTTGCAAACAAAAGTTTAAAAGCCCTTTATTAATTCAGAAGTGAAACACCAATATTTCAAGTGAGATAAGTATGTTTATTAAGGTTCATTCTACTCTAAGGTTTATACAGAGAATGGAATGCAATACAAGCTAAGAGCACACCTCAAAGATCTACCACACAACCATCCCCCTACTCCCTATAAGGGAACTGTAAAAAAAAAAAAAAATCAGAAAACCAGTTACTGTTTAACTAGTTGCAAGTGGCTTTGTCCAAAGAAGTTAAGCTTGATATTGCATTAGCTTTGTATGCAATAATTAAGTCTCTACAAGCTGAAGTATCACATACAGAGGCATAAGATTTCCTGTGGACACATGAAACCATGTTTCCAAGAGCTACATCACAAGGGTCTTTCAAACTGCCTAAAAACCAGCCACTAATAGCATGCACAGGTCAATAATATTAACTTTGGTAATGTCAGTCATTTTTGGTCAAATCTGGATTCCACTTGAAACAGTAACAATTATAAAAACACACCCATCCTGTGCATAAAGCAACACACTTTATTTGCTATCACCTAGAGGCAGGTCTTCAAGACATGGCTGAAGTATTCAAACTTAACTGTCAGGAGCTTGTTCAGTTCTAAATCACATTTTCACTAGTCTATAAGGCAAGACTAAAAGGACAAGAAAGTGGTCAAATATTTAATTTTTTTTAAATGCAGGACAAGAACCATCTTGAAAATTATATAGCTTTAAGTAACACTTAACTTTTTTCCACAATGCTTTTGTAAGAAATCCAGTAACTTTTTTATATTATCTAGTTCCCCAAGACACATTCTGGTTTATTTTTCTTTCTGAAGTTATCAATACCCTGTAAATACATGTGTTTTGCTCTTCTTGAGGAGGAAGTCATAGATGTTTTTATTTACAACAGAGTCAATCCTTAGCACTATATCTGGACTTCAACAGTTTAAAAGTGTAATGAAGATGATAACCTTAAGTGCTACTTCCCATACAGAATCCACACTTAGTTCAGTTTTATTCATTGCAAAGTAAAAAGACATCCAATTACACTAGTAAAAACTCAGAGATCTAGATCTGTACTCAAAAAAAACACTACACATGCAAAGGGAACAACATCCTGCTAACACAACTTCATTTGCTGCTGCATTTGTCTAATATTAACAATTATGAACAGGGCAGTGCAACTAGTATTTGGAACAATCCTTACAGTGTTCGAGTGTCAGGCACAATACTTCATTTCTCTTCACACCACTGGTTCTCCTTACGTACCTGGAAGAGCAGTTTAACTGTTAGTATGCTGCAGTGAAATTCTAAGCCTTTGGCTGTAAATGTCCACAAGCATTCAGGATTATTTACTGCACGGAGATGAACTTGGAGCAGCTTTAGTTTTTCACACAGATTTTGCAATTATAAAATCATCTTCCAAACTGTCCTGTTTATCAGTGTAAGCCAGGTTTTTCATGCCTAGGTTTGATCAAATCTGAAATTTTCCAAGCAAGCAAAGCAAATGGAATATCTGAAGTCTAAGCTGTTCATGACATAGCATTGAAAAATACCCTCAAAAATCTACAACTCATTGCCCTGTATTGAAACCAGGCATCATGTTGTGCTTTGTCCCCAACTCTGCCATTTTGCAGTTGGTTCGTTGGTCAAGCTTTAAGATCAATGAGTTTGTTACTTAGAGAACTCAAACTTACCTCTCCAGCCACATGCAGTAATACATCTTCAGCATTCCTATGACTGCCCCAAACCAACAAACTAAGACTGCCACAAACAGTCCTACATGCTTTCTTATTAGACATGCTGGAGCTACAAAAATCAATACATTTTGTTTTGACCTTTTCAGGTAGTGGGCTGCAAGCATGGCAGACACCAAAAAGTCTTCTGCTAGCAGCACCCCAATTATGAGGAGTTCATGCATTAGTTTACATTTACTAGTAACAAGTCTGCTGCATCACAAACTGAGTTATGAAGCACCACACAGTAATTCAGCACAAAGAGCCATCTAAATTATAATTAAACCCAGACCAAGTACCTGTGCTTCTTCCTCTTCAGTGAAGTCATTCTTAATATTGAATGTCTTGCGAATTTCTTCTGGAGTTTTCCCCTTGATCATGTTTGCCACTGTCTTGCATGTGACATCCAGCAAACCTTTGATGTCCAAGTAATTTGCAGCCTGTGAAAGAGTTTTCAGATTTAAAGCCTCCATATCAATATCCTGTCTCTGCAGAGGCACTACAGAAGTTAAGTTTACACTGAAATTTTAGAACAGTGTATGCAAACAGATCATCTCCACTTTGAGAAGTTTCTAGCTAAAACCTTCAAGGGACAGTACCTAAAACTTGCTTGCCAAATAGAAGGTAGTCATTTGTACCATGAAAAACACTCCTACTCCACCCTTTACAAATAACTTTCAGAAGTCTGCAAACATCCAAGATCTTCAGTGTTGCAGTACTGTTAACTAGCCAAGGCAGGTAATGTTGGCTCACAGGTCCATACACGGTACAAATTTAACAGCCAAAGTCAGATTTTCATTTTTATGCACATCTCCAGAACTCTAGAACTAGTAATAAGCCCTTAACTCAGACTTGAGAGCAACAAGATTAAAAGACAGTGCTATTTAGTGAAGTATTTTGATTGATGAGTGAGTATAGATTAATACCAGCATTAGGCTAACAAGCACTCCAACATCCTCACCAATTTCAGCCAATACTCATCAGAACCACCTACCCTCCCCACATTCCCCCTTTCCAATGAACTAAAGAAGCATAAAAACTTTATTTCTATTTATTTAATCTATTTTTACTTATTTTATTTAAATCAAGTGTATAGCATAACTTCAGTTCACAGGCACAGCCTTTACCCTTCTTGAGGACACTCACCAGGATAAGTTCGAAAAGTGTTCCTTGGTCTACTTTCAGAAACTCTTGATCCCACACAGGGATGTCATCTGTTCTCTTTTCTTTGTTCTCATCATCCTCAGGAGGAGGTGGATCATCCTTGTGATGGGTGCACCACTGAATCACCTAATTATGGTTTTGATATTAAAGTTTTATCCAAGCGATTCTTGAAACCCCAACTATAACTTAACTTCATTTTGTAAGAAATTAGAATAATTGATCCCCAGTCCCAGAATACAACAGCTTTCAGAAATCCCAACTGATTTAGTAGCATGTTAATTACTTAATCTTAAAAGCCAGCTGCTGGTGCTATGAAGTTATTAGTCCCTGTGCTAACATACACAGGCTGTACAAAGAAAATCTAAACCTCGTTTTGCTGTATTGAATCTGTTTGCAGAACCATACTTTGTATTAAGCAGACACTATACAGGGGAAGAGAGCAGAGTGGTAATAGCTACCAGCAGGTCACATTCACCCCAGTACAAAGTTCAGCCAGCAAGTTTGCCATTAGTGCTGGTTTGAGGTTGGTTTGTTTTTTTTTTTTAGTTTGGGAACATGCAATCTCATGACCCAGATATATAAAAGAAGCAGGGATCTACTGCAAGCAAAATCCTGTTCCATTTCACCAATCTAAGAGACTTCCAAAATTTAAGTTATTTATGTGTCTGTTCACTAGGAAACAATTCCTATCTCTGCATTTACCCCAAAACAAGCACAATAGTTCGCTGCTTACTTTGACTCTATTTGAAAGCATAAAGAATCTTGGACACCACACAACTACACTTTTCTCCCCTGACCCAATGGCCATGGTCTGTTAATGCATTTAATACCACCAAGTGCACACAGTGTCTCTTAAGCACTGTCACTGCCACCCAGACACAGCACCTGCCACTGCCAGACACTCTCACCACTGCCTGCCCCTTAATCCTTTCTCCAAACATTTGCATCTCATGAACAGCCACCTCAGTTGACAGAATCCAATTAAAACCAGTGCTTTAACACCATGAAATGCCAGTGTGCAGAGATGCCCAGCACCACTTCCTCAGGAAGCCTGTCTGGCTTACAGCTGCTGTTCCAGGTCACCCCTGTAGGTACTCTGCCATCACCCACCCACCAGCCTCAGCCCACATGCCCATGTTCATGCACCTTGATCTGGTTAAGCTTGTAGCACATGAAAAATATTTTTAACTAGTAGTTCATCGTATCCAACTCCAAGATGAATTTTACATTTCTTTACTTCCATGGAGCACAACAACTTTCATTATCTTACCTTTTTTAAGATGGCTGCATTAACATTTGGAAGAGGGACTGGGTCATCATCACCTTCATCATCCATTCCCAAATCTAAAAATGGAAAGATAACTGAGCAATTGGCAGACAAAACCATTTACTGAACTGGGATGCTTCATCAGTTCTTCATTATTTTGACAACACCGAGGCTGAATGATTGGTAACAAAGGACCTCTAAACTGTGAAATAAGGAGCTTTTGGAAGGCTGTGTGGAGCTATGGCTGCATTATACATCCTAGGTTGTACCAAGCTGAGGTTAAGTGGCTGATAAGGCTGCCTCATCTAATGAGACATCTACAAACCATCATCTAAGCTGTCACTTGCTAACTCAGTGTTCTGAATCTGAATATGAACTCAGATGCTGAACAATCTGACAAACATTTGTGTATTTTTACCACTTACACAGTTTCACCCACAAGTTCTAACTGAGGGCTCCCATTCTATTAATGATTAAATAAGAATTCAAATCTGCTGTGGTAAATAGACACAGCACCTTGTCCTCTGCATGAGCAGGAAATACTGTAGCCTCAGAAGTGCTGCTCTCAGGCTCTGAATCACTCATATTGATCCTGTACCAGCTGAAGAAGTTCACATGGTAAGACAGCAGCACAAATCCATCCATCAAAAAAAAGTATTTATAAAGCATGCTTCCAACACTCCTTGTTTTAAAAGCTTGTCAGCACACTCCAGAGATATTTGGATTTGTCCCCTTGATATGATCAAGAAATCAATGTAAGAATTAGGAGAAAAAGATAATTAAAGATTCAACTTGATACACAGAACAAATACCACATTAGCCATCTTTGATTAAAGAATGTACTTTTTTTTATTACTCAAATGCTAACAGTTGGATGACACCCTAGCTGTCAAAGACATCTTGGAATTAGTTATGTAATTGACTAACAAGGCAGACCTTCACTCATTACATGCACAGATGAGCCAATTCTACATCACCAAGGGACTTAATTTTTAAGAACATATGACCATCATCACGCCTCAAATTTGCACATGATAAAAATCATGTACTTCTGTATTTAGACAAGTCTGCTACTGTTATCAATGGGATACTAATTAACACTACTTTTTGTTTGAAATGACTCCACAGATTCTGAACTGAAACACTGCCATTAAAAGACACTGAAATAATTCAAGCAATATCTGAAGTTTACTCACTATCAATAGGATACTAATTAACACTACTTTTTTGTTTGAAATGACTCCGCAGATTCTGAACTGAAACACTGCCATTAAAAGACACTGAAATAATTCAAGCAATATCTGAAGTTTACTCAATTCTGCTTGGCTTGTCACCATCACCTCTGAACCAGCAATTTTATGTTAGCAAAATTGATATTTCAATGATGGTCCAGTGGTGCCCAGTACAACCCAAACTGTCAGCTCCTCCCCTCTCAGCTGCAGCACTCAACACACAAAACATAACCTGATGCTCAGCCACCTGCACTGAAAATGCATTTCACCTGTGCTACCAGACTGGTTCTCTCCCACGTTAGAAAGAGGCAAGTTTATGGTGCCCAGCTTACACACTTCCCATGAATAGCTTCCCTCTATCTCCAGCTGAGGCTCACTAAACACCAACACTGGCACAACTCCTGCAGGAGAAAACTGAGAATTGTGCACCCTAATGCATTCCATTTCCTGTTTGTGTTGCCAGCCATGTCCAACAGCATCTTATAAAGAGAATAGAAGTATTTAATGCCTGACATAATTCAACCTTATTTTTACTGCTCTCATAAGGTGTCACAACCAAACATTTACATGCAAGAGCATAATATTAACTAGATGTACAGAAATAATTGTTTCTAAGTTAATTCATGAATACATCCAAAAACTACAAAAACCACCAGTAAACAATGAGGATTTGCACTAGAGGGATTAGACAGTTTGCTCTGTATCCCAGCCATCTGGCAGATTTCCCCTCCCCCGCCACGAGTTCTTTTGTTTCAAATTTATGTCAGCAGGAGATCAGACCGAAGTATTTATCCCAAATAATTTAACAACATTCACAAGTTCACAATACAGGTTTAACTTCAGCTCTTCAATGCATTGATTTATTATCTCCCACTCCATACAAGTGGTATTTACATTCTAAGACTGGTTTGTGTGATTAAATAAACTGAAGTTTTAAATATTATTAATGTTCTGTTTGCTTAACTCTCACAAAACTGAAGTAGACTGTAGGCAAGGCAGTGGGCTAATTGTGTTTTACTGACCTCCCTACAAGTGCTCTTAACCAGGGCTTTTTACAAGAGCACATCCACCCTAAACAGTTTCAGCTACAACAGCAGGAGTTACAGCTGTTCAGGCAGGAGACAGCAAGCTGCTCCACAGATCTGGGAATCCTTTTTCAGCACAGTACCAGCTCCTTTCAGTGCCTGTCCAAGAGGCTTCCTCAGGGTCTCACACTCTTACCTTCCAGCATAGTCTTTATAGTCACAGACTGTTTTGCAATTTCCACATCAACTTCGAAGATTTCTCCATCTGAACTCTGCAGTTTAATTGAAGGCATCTACAAGAGAAGGACAGTTATTTCCACACAATACTCAGCAGATGTTACATGTTCAGCTGACTCAAAGATGTGCATCACCTTTACTGCTGAAATTGTCTCTTCCCAACAGCAGATAGCCCAATGCCACTTACGGTGCACTCCTTTAATCCACAGCCCTAAATTCATTAATCCTCATGTTTAAGAAACAAGGATTGACTGAAGTCTAACACTAATTCATGAGCTTTTTTTTTTCTTAACCTGAAAGCATAAAACACACAGATGAATCAATACTGCTTTTTTTTTTTTTTTTCAGTATAACACTACAGCTATCTTCCTCCTGAAAAAAAATTCAACACTTCCAAAACACTACTTTGCCTTCAAATCCAAACAACTGCTACTCACTTCAACTGCTCAAACAATGTCAGATCTCAAAAGCAGTTTTCAAATGATAGCCTCTGGAACAGAATCATAACATTGAGGTTGGAAGGAATTCCTCTAGACAGTCTAGTCCAGCCTCCCTTGCTCCAAACAGAGTTAAACAGACCAGGTTACTCAGGATCAAAGGCTTTCCTCCAGAAGTGTGTTTGGTTTTCTGAAGAGATTAAAAAGCAATAAACTCCTACAAGGAAGGCCTTCAGCACTACTGCCCTTGCAAAGCAGGAAGCAAGATCAGTACCTTGTTAGCATCTGAGATGACCATGCATTTTAACAAAGTTCCTGAAACAAACTGTAAAGAGGCAGCAGGCTTGAAAGATGTCATTAGCAAAAACACAATCAAATTCTACAAAAAAGCATCATTCCAGATATGTAACAACTGAAACCCAGAAGTAAAGCACATAACACAGCAGCCAGGAGATTACAACTTCTGTCTGAAACCACACCTGCAGACTGTGGGGTATCAGTGCACTTGAGCCAACCAAAGGACATTACAAGCACAACTGTCTGGCCACATAAATTCTCTAAATTTGCTCTCAACCAGCTAGTAGGATGTGTTGTAAGTTCCTTTACCACTCAAAATATTTGTCAGCAGCAAACCACTGCAACAGTTTCCTTTCTTTTTGGTCCACGATTACCTGCTTCAAGATCACTGAAGCATGTGTTTGCACAGCCTGCAACTACCCTGAACAGCTCTGGGAACAAAGAATTTCAAGTGCAATTAAACTGCCTACGTTCTTTCCCCACCAAACTTACAAGCTTCACACACTAGTTCCTCACATTAGTAGCTGAGCTATCAACAGTTAATTAACTGGACAACTTGAAGCAAACTTGCATCATCTCTTTCTGAAAGCTCATCAGTGTAGCGTGGCTAAGCCTGACAGCCCTGTGCACACCCAGGCCAGGGAGGCTCGGCCAACACGTGTTACTGAGCAGCTCACACCAGCCCCGAGTCATCACTGCCTTCATTTCCATTTGGCAGTGAGCAGCCAGTTAAAGTTTACACAGCAATGTAACCCTATATGACAGTGCTACTTCTAATTAAGATGGGTGTTGTGGAGGAGCACAGTCATGACTGCTCCAAAGGTACAACAGTGTGTGTGCGTGTATGTGCATATATACACGCACACAAAACCAGAATCTGGACTACAGCACAGTTCTGCATTAGCAGTTTGAATGATGTTTGGGAAAAGTGCTGTAGGCACACATTTTAAATGTAATGCATCTGTTCTTGCAGTGACTGCCTGGGAGCACTCCAGAACAAACCCTGCTCCATCGGCAGCCTGAGCTTACATAATGCTGCACAGCAGAGCCAGGCAGGGATGCTGCCTCAGCCAGGGGAGCCCCAGCAAGGATATTTCCCTCCTATGACCCAAACCTGCTTCTAACAACTCCTTCAGTTATTGCTGAGGGTGTGAAACAGCTAGAACGAAGTTAAACTACTGCCTTATCATTGACAATACATCAGAATTTCATCGATTTTTTTTTTTTTACACCACTCAGTTTCCTAGAAAATAGAAAAAAAACGCAAAACTCATTTTTAGCAGGCTGTAGTACAGCTCCGGCAGGTGACAGTCCCCGGGCAGCAGCACCACTGGGTGACTAAGCAAACCACTCCTAAGAGCTTTATTTGACAACAACACAACAGGCTGGGAGCCGAGCTCAAGCCAAACCTGAATTACAGCAGTAATTTACTCGTCTAAGCCTGAAACGCCGAGCTGAGCCACCTACAGCTGCGCCTCCCAGCGCCATTCCGGATGGATGCCCGCTGCTTCCCCCTCGCCTCCCGCGTCAGCGCCGGTAACCAGGAGCCAGGTAACGAACTCACACCTGAGGCGCGGCCGCCCGGGGCACGGGGGGCAGGGGGAGCGGGGAGGGGGAGACACAACCACCGGGGAGCCGCGGGGGGAGGCTCGGTCTGCCCGGAGGCTCCACTCACCACCCCCGCGGGCACCGCTCCCCACGCCGCCCCCGCGGGAGCTTCATCCCCGCACGGCCCGGGCCCAACGAACCCCGGGAGCTCCATCCCTGCACGGCCCGGGAGCGCCCATCTTTCCGCCCGCCCCGGCCCCCGCGATCACCCCACGGCCTCCCGACCCTCCGTCCGCGGCAGGCCGGCTCCGCCGCGCCCACACAGCTCCTACTATCGCCCCCGCGCCCCCCCCGTCCCGCTCGGGCCTCACCGTGAGGCGGCGGCAGCGGCTCCGCGAACGGACCGTGAGGAGGCGGCGGCGGCGCTCGGGCCTGACTGCGGCGGCGCTCTTATACCGAGCGGGGGATGGGGGGGAAGGACCCGCCTCTCGCCGCCTCGCAACGCCCGGGCTGCCCGCCGCGAACGCCTGAGCAAAACACCCCACGGCGGCTCCCAAACGGTGAAATCCGGTACTCGCGCCGCCTTCCGCGAGGTGCGGAGGAGCAGCGGAGCCGAAACGAGTTCGAGGGGAAGCAGCGGATGGTGGAGGGTTTTTCAGGCAGCGACGGAGCCGCGGCAGAAGCCGCACAATAGACGGAGGCCAGGGCCCCTCCCCGCGGCCTGAGGCGCCGCCGCGGCCTCGGCCCGGCCCCGGTGAGGGGGGGAACGCGCTCTGCGGGTCCGGCCCCGGTGAGGGGGGGAACGCGCTCTGCGGGTCCGGCCCCGGTGAGGGGGGAACGCGCTCTGCGGGTCCGGCCCCGGTGAAGGGGGGAACGCGCTCTGCGGGTCCGGCCCCGGTGAGGGGGGAACGCGCTCTGCGGGTCCGGCCCCGGTGAAGGGGGGAACGCGCTCTGCGGGTCCGGCCCCGGTGAGGGGGAGAACGCGCTCTGCGGGTCCGGCCCCGGTGAGGGGGAGAACGCACTCTGCGGGGCCGGCCCCCGTGAGAGGGGAACGCGCTCTGCGGGTCCGGCCCCGGTGAGGGGAGAACGCGCTCTGCGGGTCCGGGCCGCCCCTGAGGGCAGCGCGGGGCTCCCGTGGCGGCGGAGGGCCCGGCTGGCAGGTCGTGTGGTGAAATCGGTCACTCAGGGTAACTCGGGCTCGCCCCAGAACGCCCACGGTGCTGGTTTTCCTTCACGGGGAGAAAGGCCGAGGCCGGGGGTAATACTGCGAATATCTGTGGAGGTTTCCCGCAGGTAAACACTGTGAAATCCCATCGCCAGGTGTTGCTCCAGAGCCGGAAGACATTTTAGCCGGAAAACGACATTGAAGAACCGTTTAGTTTAAAATTGTTCCAGCATCAGACAGCCCTCCTCCAGTGGAAATACGGGAAATGCGGGAGCTTTCATGGAGCCGGAAATGGATTTAGCTCTGAGCGGTGCTCACGGAACATCTGCCTTAGGTGCCGCCAGGAATTTCAGGCAGTTCTAGCTCACCCTTTAAAGCGTCTCTGGACAGCAGCTCTGCAAGGAGCCGAGGAGCAGAGCAGAACTGGGCACCCAAACACAGCGAGGCCTTTGTGTTGGCACAGCCCCACCTGAGCACTGCCCCCAGCACGGGTGACAGCTGAAAGGTCACCAGTGTGTGCTAGAAAGCAACAGGTACTAGGTTTCCAGGGGAATAAAAGGGTATGTGAAGGGTTTTACAGTGTGAGGAAGGGCAGGGTATGAGCCCTCACGTCGCTCTGAAGTGTCCGAAGGCTGTGCTGTGCTGTCACAGCACACACTCCCTCCTCTGCTGCTGAACCCAGCTTGTGTCAGCTCTCCATGGCAAAATGGCTTTCAAGTAGGCAAGGTATTTACACAGTGACAATGCAGGATCCTAACAGTTTGCTTTACTTCCATGAATAAAAACGTTTCAGGAATCAAAAAGCATGTTTTCACATCATTCCAATGCAGACACAGCCAGGGTGCCTGTAAGCACACTGATACCTGCAACAGCACCACACTGCAGAGTCCAGCATCATTCATAGCCCCAGGCAGCACCAGGGGAGGATCAGGTTGGAGATCAGCAAGGATTTCTTCCCTGAAAGGGTTGTCAAGCACTGGCATGGTGGTGGAGTCACCATCCGTGGAGGTGTGCAAGAAACAGGTGAATGTAGCACTGAGTGCTCTGCTCTGCTTGACAAGGTGCTGATGAGTCAAGGATTGGACTTTGCAGTCTTGGAGATGTTTTCCACCTTTAATGTTTCTGTGCTTAGTCACAGGTTTCCCATCTCTTGGGGTCCCAGAGAGTCCCAGGCTGTGCACCCCACACATTAGGGAACGAATGACAGCCAGACCCACTGGAAGAATATCTTCTAACATGAAGAGTTTTCCCAGCGTTCAGAATTTCTTAGTTGAGAATCTTGTTTTGCTCAGTTCAGTAGCCAAGACAGCGAAGTGTTAAGTATTCCTTACTCCCTTCCCTCCTTTGCTCCCTTCCCTTCCATCTGAGAGTAGAATTATAGAATGTTAAGTGTTGGAAGAGACCTTAAAGCTCCTCTGGTCCCACCTACCCTGCCGTGGGCAGGGACACCATCCACTAGGTCAGGTTGCTCAGGGCCCCATCCAGCCTGGCCTTGGACACTTCCAGGAGTGGGGCAGCCACAGCTGCTCTGGGCACCCTGTGCCAGCGTCTATCTCACATACCAGGTGAGACTACAATTACAAAATATTCAGTATTAAATACCTTGTTCATTGGGGCTGTTTCTCTGGAGAGATGGAAGACTCAGATAGATTCCCAGGCAGGAAGGACCTAGAGCTATCAGCTGATAGCCTGGCTGTTCTACATCAGAGCATAGCACTTAGAACAGGCCTCTCTAAATTCCAAAGAACTGTTGGAGGTGACTGCCTGACTTGGGAATCTTGTTCCATGGGCTTCAGATGCTGAGCAGCTTGTTAGAGCAGACTTGAATACAACTCTGAGCAACCTGATCTGACTTTGATCTGACTTTGCAGGTGGATCCAGGTCACGTCTGTGGTCCCTTCCAGCCTGGATTGCTGTGTGCTCCCCTGGGACTCTTCTGACAGCTCAGTGAACAGCCAGGTGATGCTGAGCAGCAGACTTGGACACTAACAGAAGTTCCTCAGAGATCCTGGTATTGATAACCACATAAGCTCTTTGTTCACCATTGAACGGGACCTAATATTAATTCTTAATATATTTGTGTCTCATATGTAGAGTGCGAAGCCTCCAGACTACATCTAAAGTGACTTTTTGATTGTACCAGCATCACATTTACCTCTTTCTTCCTCAATCACACCATCTCATACTCCAGTGCTGAGAACCACATTCAATGCACTAAAAACCACTGCCTTTATTTTCCTTAAATTATTTTTTTTTAATTTATATTAAAACTCCTTTGTTTAGAGAATCAGACAATAACAGAAGGTGGCCAATGGAAAACATATCTACAAATTCTAAATCCCCTTTCCCAATGTTGCCAGAGACCAAGGTTTCTGATTTGGCTCATGACCAGCAAGCACAAGCTCACAGACTGCAAATCAGGCTCAGCAAAGGGGGGGATGGGGTTTGCTCTCAAAACAAATCTAATGGAGTCTAGGAACAGGCAGAAAGCTAAATTCCATGCTTAATTATAGTTGTGGATAAATTTAATTCAAAATTATACTGCTGATTCTACTTGGTACAGCTCTCTACAGCTTTCCAAAGGAGGAAATTCCATCCTTTGTGAACTTTGAATTCTACTGTTGAATTAAAAGTTTGGGAAAGTTAAAACAGCAAAAACACCCCACACCCCAAAAAGAGACAGATGGCTGTCACAGATATGCTATAATCACACGACAGCACCTCCCACTGTGCCCTACATATCATACAACCAACCTCCCCAGCCACTCCTGATGCTTCCCGTTATCTGTTGTGAAAAAGCAGCTGCTGCAGCAGTGATAGCCCAAGTCCTGTGAGTCAGTCAGTATTAATGGCACAAAACCTCCATCCCGGGCTAAAGCTGCGAGGCAAAAACGAGATTGCTTAAAAAGGGGTGGCCCAATTTCAGTTGTTCTGCACACAGGTAATGATTGCACTGCAAATGATCCTACAGCTGAGCATTGCTCCCCTGAGTGCAGAGAATCACACCATGTATCAGCCAGGGGTAAATTACAATTAAGGGCCTTTGACCACTGAGAACGTGAAGGAGGAAAGGAGCAGTTAACACCAAAGCAAATACCTGAAAAGATTGGAGCAAATGAGCTTGATTTAATGCTTAATCAGATCCAGAAGAGCCCTGACCTACATATTCACAGCATCCCTGGGCTGCAGGCACAGCCAGTTGAGCAGCCATGCGGCCGCAGGGGAAAAGAGTTTAACATGCTGAATGTGAGGGAGCAGCCTCCTGGACACAGCCCTGCATCTGCTCCACAGCCTCACATTCCCTTCCTGGATGTTTCTCTCAGACAAAAATAATGTGCCCCTTACTCTTCAGAGCACCTCACATTCCACTTTGACAGAGAAACAGGATTTTTTTAGCTGCTGGTGATTTAGAGACTATGGAGATAACACACTGATTATTTTTCAATACAAATGTGGCATTGTCAAAGTCTAATGACAATCAGGCTTGAAAGAGCTAGCTTTGCTCCACTGACAAGTTAGACAAATCCACAGAACTCCTCCTGAGTTCACTGAACCAGGGAGAGCAAGCCAGGGAGAGAGCCAGGTAAAACCATGGAATCTGAAAAAGATCCTAATCTACTTGTAGGGGAGAATGAGACTTGCTGCAAATATCATCCTTTTTTTCAGGAATACAAAAAATGAAGAACATTTTTTCAAACAAACAGCCACATCAAGTTTGAAAATAATTGAACTGACTGGTTCAGTGTAAAACCAGAAAACATCAGAATTATTCATGTGAGAGAGATGGTAGAAAGACACTGCTGAGCTCAAAGGCCTGGGCCACTGTTTTTTAAAGCAGTCTTGGAACAATGCATCTGCAGAAGAGGAAAATTCTTGTTTTCAGTACAAGTCTAAAAAATCTAATTATATAAAAAGCTAATTATTGCATTTCCACTTCATTAAAGTTTGTATTAAAGCAGCATGCTTGATACGGTGTCACTTTTCATAGAAGTTGTACCCCAGCAATGTGAAATGGTGGGTGGCAGAGCCCAGCACTTGGGAGAGTCCAGGTTGGAGAATCAGAGAATCCTGGAATGGTTTGGGTTGGCAGGGACCTTAGAGCTCATCCTGTTCCAACCCTCTGCTGTGGACTAGACCAGGTTGCTCAAGGTCCCATCCAGCCTGGCCATGATCACTTCAGGCATGGGGCAGCCACACCTTCTCTGGGCAACCTGTACCAGGGCCTCACCACACTCAGGCAAGAATTTCTTCCCAACATCCGATCTATTCCTTCTCTCTCTCAGATCAAAGCCATTCCCCCTTGTCCTGTCACTCCAGGTCCCTGTCCCAAGGCCCCCTCCAGTTCTTTTGTAGCCCTTTTAGGCACTGGACTGAGACCTGGCTTCTCAGGTCTCCCTGGAGCCTTCTCTTCTCCAGGTGAGCACCCCAGCTCTCCAACCCTCAGAGCATCTCCATGGCCTCCTCTGGTCTTGCTCCAGCAGGTCCACATCCTTCTGATATTGGGGATCCCAGAGTTAGACACAGCATGGCAGGTGGGGATTCTGGGAGCAGAGTACAGCCCAATGGACTGACAAAACGCAATAACCAAATCCTGTCAAGCAGACACCAAGTGAGGGTTTTTTATCAGCTTCTATTCCTCTAACAGCACTCCCATTCCCCTTACATAACAACGGGGATTCAAGATAGTTTAAAAAACTGAAGAGGAGGAAGACTGAAAATAGAAATACCTACCTCAAACCTATAAGCAGCACCTATTTCCTAGTATCACCCTCACTCCTCCTCCCCATATTTAAACAGTGATTTTTGTACCAGTTCTGCCCTGGCATCCTCTGAAGTCATCTGGAGCACTCTGGAGGAGCCAAGCCCGGATCCTCCGGCTGCCGAGGGTGAGGGTCACGCACCTCCAGCCACATCAGAGGCAGAGCACGCCAGCCTTGCGGACAGCGCGGCGGCCCCGGCCCCGGCGCTCCCGCCGGGCGGGGCAGTGCCACGCGGTGGCGCCGGGGCTCGCTCCGAGCCGCGGGAGCCTCAGCGAGCTCGGCCCCGGAGAGATGCGCTCCCGGGCATTCCAAGAAAATGAAAAGCGCAGGCTTTCTGTAGGTGGTTTTGAGAACGACCTTCAGTGGTACCGTATAAAACTGTAAAAATCCTTGATATAAACACAAGGGGAAGGGACTGGGTTTGCTTTACAGGGCTGCCTGGCACTGGTCTCCAACGCTGGAGCCGTTCAAAGTCCAAAAAGCAGATTCTGGGCTGGTTCTGACGCCACGAATGATAATGAGCAGTTGCTTTGAGGTTTCAAAGTCCATGGGAATAAATACAGTGTGTTTCAGAAGTCAGCATTTTTAAATGCATCCAAAGCATTTTAAAAATATTCCAGGGGAAAGGACAGTCCAATAATATTTTGAGATGGCTGAGCTAAAGCTGGATAAACTCATGACCAGACGAACAGAAGCCATCACCAGCCTTTCTCTCTCCCAGGAAGCTGTGGCACCCCCTCCCCTGGGCACTGTCCCTGCTCCAGCAGCAGCCGGCCGTGTTCCTCCTCCCTGAGGACAAACACAGCAGTGGAAAAGGAGCAGAGCTGCCTGAAAAGTGGGTCAAGCATGGAATGAAACACCCACCACAGGATACTCCCAAGCAGGGCTTCTCCAGCCGTGTGCTCCCCCACCCCATTTTCCTTATAAAATAAAGAAGCAGAATAGAGCAGCCATCACTGCAGACTCCTGCACTGATGGCCACAATAAAGCTTTTTCACAGAAAGTTCAGGGTTAGGCTGGCGGTAAGGCGGTGTTTTCTCAAACTCCTGAAAAATCAAGACAGTTGGGAGCCAGGCTAAAGCCTTTCAGCCCAATCGATCATGCAATTATCAATGTCAACAGGACACTCCTCTTTTACAGTTCAGCACTTTCGGTTTTAAATGCATAACCTGGAAAACAGTTTATAGATTTGTTGAAATTAAAAAACAAACAAACTAAAGCAACAAAAACAAACCAAAAGAACCTAACCTCAAAAAACCCAGATGTATTTGGGGAAAATCTACTGGGGAAGATGTATACAGAAGTTGAAACAAACCAAAAGCAAAGATTTAGTTTAATTTATACAACCTTATACGAGTAGCTGCAAAATGGAGAATGTTCTCCTCAAAATCACTTTCCTGCAAGTTTTCGTGTAGGATGCTCACCCTGATCACACTGCTCCTCCTCCAATTAGCAGTCCCAGGTACTATTAGCAACTAATGTTTTATACATTATTTATATCAGCAGCAATCATTTTAGTCTCCATCCCAAAACTGTCCACCAGAGAGTAATTAAAGAGATCAGTAGTTCAAATCATCTTAAATGCTAAAGCTTTTAAGCTCCAGCACAGGTTTTAAAAGGCTAAAACTTGCAGCACTGCTTAATTTAAAACCAAAAGTGTTGTTTCAGCCTTTTTTCCCTGTCCATATGCCAAAGCACTCTGGCCCCTTGCTCAAGAAAGCAGCCTGCCTTTATTCCCATCCAAAAGGAGTAAAGCCAAATGAATTACAGCACCAAAATAACTTTTTGTAAAACCACAGAAAGCTGACTCATGAACTGCTGACTCTGCAGGGCTTTGTTGGTGTGTTCATGGGTACTGAAAGATTTCTACACACTCCAGCATGATTTTTACTTACACTTCAGCTGATTCCAACCTTCTCCCAGAAGAACTTGCAGAACACCAATACTCTGTGTCATGACTGCTGTAGCACACAGAAGGCACCCAATGCCTTCCACAAGGCTTCAAAAATCACTGCTTGCAGACATTTTGCTCCAAAAATCCAAGCTCATACAAACCATGAGTATTCTTCCAAAAAAATGGAACATGTAAAAAGCCATTTCTCAGGCAAAATTTGCTCTAACCTACACAGCAACTCTTGAAATACGTTAAGTTTCCAGGAGTGCTCTGCATCCAAACAAAACAAGCAGCAATTAAAACAATAAATAAGTGTGGAACAGGTGCATAAGAAGATAGTCAGAGTGGAGGCACACCTTCAATTTACTGAATTTGGAGTAGGATTTAATTTGAAATTCAAAATTGTGACCATACTTGCATCTTACAACCATTTTTCCTGAATAAATACGAGTACTTATTCTTCAGCCCCCTCCCAAGGTCACAGCTCCTCCAAGAGCAGGAACTGCACTCCAGTATTACTAAGTGTTTATTGAACTATGAAAAAAGGCCCAAAATAAACCCAGCACTATCACAGTGGTT